ATAATATTAACACAAAACACACAGTTTAGCCAACCGCACAAAATAGAGCTAGTAAACTTAATTTTTAAAATATTGTTTAGTAAGTAGACGCCGAATCGAGTCGACGCTGGTACTAAATATATCAATATCAGTATCCAAAGACGATTGGTTGAACTCATTCACTGCTCTGACAAGAAATGAATTTTGTCGGTAATTAGTCCTCGCATTGGGTACACTAAATACCGAGTGATGCCTTAAACTCAACAGGTTAGTTCTAAATGATACCTTTGACAATAAATTTGATGAGTCAACTTTACTGTTCACTATTTTAGAAAGAAAACAAATGTCATTCACTCTTCGCCTAAAATCGAGAGGAACAAAATGATAACGCTTACAACGCACTACATAGCCTGAAGTTTGCTGCTTCGTTTTGAAATCCAAATACCTTAAGAATTTTTTCTGAATAGCTTCAATACGTGATTTATAAACTTCGTATCTGGGATTCCACACTTGAGAAGCATATTCAAGGTGACTACGTACAAGAGAACAATAGAGTACCTTTATAGGCTTAATGTCAGAAAAATCACTACAAGTCCGCATCAAAAATCCCATGGCTGTATATGCTTTAGTAACAATACTATCGATATGTTTGTCTAAGATCAATTGGGAATCAAAGTACACGCCAAGATCCTTAACATTGTTCACCCTATTAATGAAACTCCCCTGAACACTATAACCTTCGCTGATAATATCTCGTTTACGAGAGTAAGATACAACAAAACACTTAGACACATTTAGATCTAATTTATTGCTATGACAACAAGCTACAAACCGATCTAGATCACTTTGTAGCTCCTGTGCATCTTCAATTGATAGTACTCTCTTAAATATTTTCATATCATCTGCATAGAGTAATATTTCGGAGTTACGGAAGCATAATTGAATGTCATTAACAAATATGGTGAACAATAACGGGCCCAGCAAAGACCCCTGGGGCACGCCCGAGGGAACAAAATTCCAGTTAGACTTGTAACCCGACAGTACCACCGCCTGACTGCGTCTGTCGATGTACGAAGAGAACCATCTGAACAGGTCACCATGCACACCGGCAATCGACAGCTTAGCAAGTAAAACTGAATGGTCAATACGGTCAAAACATTTACTAAAGTCAGTATACAGAATGTCTACCTGAGCCCCAGCCTCCATACCTGCAGATATAAGGTCAGCGGCCTCAACTAAATTTGTCGTTGTGGAACGGTTACTAAGAAAACCATGCTGACATTCACTGAAGGAAGTCTTTAGAGCAGCATACAACTGTCTATAAACTAGTTTTTCAAAAATTTTAGCAATGAGACAAAGCTTAGAAATTGGTCTATAATTCTCAATATTGTGCTTGTCTCCTTTTTTGTGTACAGGAGTAATGAACGCTGTCTTCCAAATTGTAGGCACGACTCCTTCACCAATTGATCGTTTAAATATTATTGAGATTGGTACTACCAGTGAATCAGCACAGTTTACAAGAAGGACAGCTGGAATAGAATCTGGTCCCTCACCTTTGGATAAGTCGAGAGATTTCAATAGTCGCAAGATTTCAGACGAGCATACCTCAACAGAGGATATACTGCAACCAGAACTTCCATACACACTTGATACGTTGCTTGAGTACTGAGTATTGATATTATTAGAATAAAAGTTAAGATATTTAAAAAGTAATTACAACATTTGAAAATGGAACTCTTTGGCTGTAATTCTACAGCTACTACTGTATTCACAGTTGTTTCAACTGACTGTCACTTGTTTTTACATTGTGGCGTCATTTTAGAATTTGGTTGTCTACATCACCCTAGATTTAACTCGTCAAAATTTTCGTAGTTTGATTTTCTACGAGTTTAAGTGTAATTTAACAGCTCAGCGGAGCTTCGCTCGGCTTCAAACTGCTTTTAGCGATGAAGCACCACGCAAGACGATTATTTATAGCTGGTTTGCAGAATTCAAACGTGGTCGTGTGAATCTCAGTGACGAATTTCGTGATGGTCGCCCGTACACTGCTGTGAACAACAAAAACATCAATGCTGTGCACCGTATGATCAAAACAGATAAGCATGTGACATACCATGAGATTCAGCCATCTTTAGGCATAGGCATGAGTCAAATACAATTAATACCACACAAACATTTGGGTGTGAAGAAGCTGTGCTCTCGGTGGATCCCACACAATTTGACTGAGGCTCAAAAAACGAATCGCGTCACTTGGTGCAATGCCATGCTTACCAGATTCAACGAAGGGGCATCAAATTTGGTGTGGGACATAGTAACAAGTAACGAAACGTAGATTTATAATTACAATCCCAAAACAAAGCAGCAATCGAGCGTATGGGTCTTTCGAGATGAGCCGAAATCAACCAAAGTGGCGCGCGGGTAAAGTGCCTCTAAGCGGATGATTGCTTCTTTTTTTAATAAAACCGGAAACGTGGCTACTTTTGCATTGGAGAATCGTTGTATCGTGAATAGTGATTGGTACACGACCATTTGTTTGCCGGAAATTATTGACAAACTCCGTAAAAATAACTGTAAACACCTGGACAACAAGTTGAACTGGAACAAACATATGGACAACAAAATTAAAAAAGCCACTATCACCTTCTGGCAGTGCCATAGAATGGTGGGTAAACAATGGGGACTTTCACCCAAGATTACACTATGGCTCTACACTGCGGTGATAAGACCCATGATCAGTTACGGCGCGATAGTATGGTGGCCACGAACCAAGCTGACGACCGCAACCGACAAACTGGACAAATTCCAAAGACTAGCGTGCATGGCGACGACGGGCTGCATGAGGACAACTCCAACTGCGGCCCTCGAAGCGATGCTGGACCTTCGACCCCTCCCACTGTTCATCAGACAGGAAGCGGCGTCAACAGCAGTGCGTCTAAACAGAGCCGGCCTCTGGAAGCACATGAGGACCCCACATACAGAAATCCTCTACAAGTCTGTCAATGAGGAACCGCTACTGGAGGCGGTTGTGGATAGGATCCCAAAACAATACATCTTTGACAAGAAATACAAGATACAATTATTTGAAGATCCCAACGAAGGACTGAACCCCAGAGAGGTCCGAGTCTTCACCGACGGATCTAAAACAAACTCAGGAACAGGTACTGGGGTATTCTCAGAAGACCTCAATATCAGGGTATCAGCACCGCTTGGTGACCACAACACAGTATTCCAGGCTGAATGCATGGGCATCAAGTTGGCAGCAGAAGCAATCATAGCGAGAAGAGTAAAGAACTACTCCATTCGAATACTCTCCGACAGTATGTCAGTACTTCAAGCACTGAATAGCTATGACATAAACTCAGGGCTCATTTACGAATGCCATCAAGCACTCATGGAGGTATGTATACAAAACCACGTAACTCTTCAGTGGATTAAAGGACACAGCGGCTCACGTGGCAATGATGCAGCAGATGAACTAGCCAGGAAAGGGTCGGAGACGGACGCTGTAGGACCAGAACCGATAGTGTCCCTCCCCTCCCAATGGTCCAGAACAACTATACACAAAGGTACAAAATCTTCACATAATAATACATGGACCACCCTTACGGTTTGTAGACAGGCGAGGGAAGCACTCCCAACGCTCAATGCCAGTCTATTTCGAATACTAATTAAACTTAAAAGGCAAGAGCTTCGCACTCTAACTGCCGCCCTAACGGGTCATGGTCCATATAATAAACACCTTTTCAATTTAGGTATCACAGACAGCCCTCTATGCAGAGCGTGCATGGAGGGGGAGGAAACGGCTGCGCACATCCTACTTCAGTGCTCCGGCGTGGCCAACTACAGGGCAAAATACCTTGGAGTGCCAAGGTCGCTCCCCGAAGTCTTCAGCAAACCAAGGAGGCTGCTGAGATTCCTGGAGGAGCTTGGGTGGCACGAGTAGGACCCTGCACCCACCACACGCAAAATAGGCGCTTTGTCGTCGAGTTGCGGGTACCAGCCCGTTGCACCAAGTACCAAGTACCAAGTAACTGTAAACACCGTATCATCTTGCACCACGATAATGCCAGTTCTCACACGGCCAGACAGACAAATGAATTTGTGGAGGTGAACAACGTTGACCTTATGAACCATCCCGCGTACAGTCCCGACCTGACACCTTGTGACTTTTATTTATTTCCAAAAATTAAGAAGCAGGTCAACGATTTTCATCACCTGAAGGGGCTGTCGAAGAGCATGAAAAATATGTTTCAGAGATTGTCACGGAGGAGTGGCATAAATGTTTTCAAAATTGATTATTCGTATGAAAAAGTGCATTAACGCTAACGGAGAATATTTTGAGAAACAGAGAGGAAAGAGATCAATTCAAATCCACGTGACCCGATCTGAGGATCAACACAGAGGCATGTGATAGATACATTACGATCTAAAAAAACAATCCAAAGCTAAAAATCGAGCATCTCTAGACAGGATGGTGTTCAATATTAGAAATACATACTTTGAATGCATAAATATAATTACTATGTTGGTGTGGTACGAACTCTGCCTTGCGCTGTCGAAATGTTCAAACATTTTAATATTAAGCAGATGCATTTACTGTATAGGTAAGTGAAGTACTTTTATGGTACAATAAACTCAACCTTTTTGACAACCCTGGTTTTTAATTACCTACCAACAACCCTCTGAGTGCCACTTGGAACTGCAGTGAAAAACGGTGAAAACATTCGGATCCCATTCTTTCTAGGCCTATTATTTTAAAATAACACAGCAATCTTAAATTTTTATAATCGAAATCGCTTAATACTTTCACTGAAAAAATTTTCAGTGAAAGTGTTAAGTACATAAATATGTAGCATAGCATTTAAATGCTTTTGTTAGCTTGAGGAAGCTATAGCGATTGACCTTTAAAACTTCAGATTAAAAACCTTTTTTGGCCAATTGCCCGTTAAGCTTTACTTAACAATCTAATTACGTTTGAAACCTACCTTCAATAATTCTGAGTAGATGAAAGAAGTCAAATTACTCGGGGAAGTATATGTATATTTAATCAAGGTAACATTTAAATCAAAACCATTTGATTTTTTTTTCAACACCAAATAACTGAAACTGCGGTATTTTGAAGCTTGCGACTTGAAGATCTGGATTTATTGGAAATCGATATTTTATAGATCTATCATAATTATTCAATATTTATATGCATTGAACACGGAAAATAGGCGCCTTGACGTCGAGTTGCGGACACCAGCCCGTTACACCAAGTACCAAGTAAATGCTTTGAATGTCGTTTGATATTGTTATAAATGAGACAAAGCAATGAGTCAACTTCTGAGGGATATATTTATTTTGATAGTAATCTTATTGATGTATTACAGATGAGATTTCGAAGAAGGTACCAAAGAAAAATCAAAGTTGGACAATTGGATGTGGTCACCCTACAGGTGAACTCGTAAAATATTTGTTACGTGAGACAAAAAAGGGAAATTTTATTTGAATATACCAACAATCAATTAATTTTAATTTCAGGATGTTAAAGACATTGCCTTATTCACGGCTCCAGTTACGTTATTGAGCCCAAAGTTAATAAATTTGCTACACATTCCGACCACTGAAAGATTTATAAGGGCACTCATATTTTGCTGTCAATACTACCTACAGGTAAGTAAATTCATATTGAATTTTGGGTTATATCATAGTACAATAAGACAAGTATGGTAACTCCATACAAACATACACATATTCGCATAATAATGAAAGGCGCGTAGGGACGACCAGTGTTACGCAACGCTAGTGCATCGCGAGGTAATGCGAATATGAGCGTCCGTATAAAGCACGCGGGCGGGCACGCACACATGCTCGCTGCTACATTTGTATGAAGTTACCATACTTCTCGTATTATACTATGGTTATATTGTAGAACGTAATAGAACATGATCTGCTATAGTTATTTACATACTTTAGATAGCTGAAGAAATGGCTAATCGGATGAAAGAACAAGACACAAAAATACGAACGCCAGCGTGTGACATTATAGAGAAAGAATATAGAGACAATTTGGCGGATGTACGACTTTTGGTGGCTAAGGAATATTGCACTATGATTATGGGTCTGTAATTTTTTTTGGGAATGATATTTGTTGCATTCACAAAATTACATTGTTCTAATAAAGTCATTATATTCCGGCAGGCGGCGCAGACACACGGAGATTTCATCATATGGGTTATTCCAAAAGGAAGCATTCATTGTCAGACAGGGATGCTCGTCTTTTTGAGATGTTGTTGCGTATGTGTGTTCAGATTGTGTGGCTAGCTTTGGGTCGCAAATCCTTTCATCACATAGGTAAGATATTTGTAACTAAACTATACCTCGTAGGTAAGTTGATCATATTACATCGATGAAAATTAATGTACTTCACTGAATTTGTTTCTAGAATTGGAAGTGAATCGCATTTTCAAATCTGAGATATTTAATGCTACTGAGCACAACTTACGGACTGGATACATAAGCAAGATGTCTAAGTCAGAGCGAAATGTGTTACTAGGCTGTGTGAAACAGGGTTTCAAACTGAACACTTGTTCACCTCTTATGAATGAAGTCATGTGCGAAAGGAACATTGACTACCGTTTATTGGCACTTGGCGTTGTCAAATATCCGGAGTTAGTAGATTACTCGTCTATGATTATTAATTTCGGGAACACAGACAGCGAAGGTACAATGAAGGTACTTGTAAACACAAGTGCGATGGCATCATCCTTGAGAAGTTTTACACAGATTTCGAGGTAACAATTTAGTCTTTTTAAATAATCCAAGTTGTTTTCATCAGATTGTCGCCGCGCCTGAAATATATGTTACTAGCGATAGCAAGTCCGGAAGAAGAGCTGATGAATCTTGGAGTAACCGTTGGAGTTCTGGGAATGCACCGTTCTCTCTTTGATATAATGCTCCATCCACTACCTCCTATTAGTGCCAAAAGCAAATTGAAAAGCTCCATTCCGTAAGTTAAAAATAAATTTCAAAATTTAGCAATTTATTTCACTCGTTGATAAACAAGAAAAATCTAAGATGGCCGGTTTATTGTCGACTTAGGTCTGGAGTTACAGCTAGTACTAAAAGTGCGTCTTCTATAAGCCAGAAAAGTCAAAATCGAATAATTTTTCCCTGCATCATGTTACCGCCAAAGGAACGTAAAGAGTAAGTTGTACTCACATTGTTGGCACTGATTTACTTCTTATAGAATTGAAAATGACGCAATATTTACTTCAACAGGAGTTATTTTCCATCTGAGTTTCCTATTGATCGCGAAACGCCTCGCCATTGCAGTGAAGAGCAACTGTATCGGTGGCAATGTCGTCTTATAAAACTCCTCCGTCCTCGATACTCTTCGTGCCTGCACCGCAGCTCGAATTATCCAGATAGCATTCCTATGAAATAGTAATGTATCAACTACATTAGTGAAAACGTGTGTACTTTTCTGCACCTTTGGCTTTGGGGCGTCGTCGCGAGGAGCAGAATTTAACTATTATACATATTTATTATAATTATTTTCATGAACCGCGTAGTCATAGCCTTAGTTAATAAAAACGTGTCATGCTTGTGTTTCTGTGCCCTTATTTAACGAGTTCGACATCGGAAAATTTTATAAAACGTTCTAAAGAAGTCTCCCCGCAGTATGACTAGGTTATTTGGATAAGGAGATTTGTACTTGAGTAACCAATTTTTGAAGATAATCTTGAAAATCTAATAATCGTCCGTGAAAAAGAACTCAAATCATACCTACCTTACATACTTATATAGAGAAAAAGTGTGTATGGCCGGCTGTACGAGATATTGTATTAACCACATAGCAGATCTCTACAGTTAATACGTGAAGTCGTTATCAACATCAAGCAATCGTGGTCTCGGCTGCATGAAGTCGATTATGACTTCACGCGTTAACTGCAAACATGCAGTCAATCTGTTAGCAGCTTTATAGAAGCGTGTATACATTGACCCACATCGAGACATAACCAAAATGTCCTCGTTGTTTCATCCTAAATGAATTTGTGACTTTGTGAAGACGACTATCAAGAACAGCTAGTATATTTTTAGTATAACTAGACATTACGAAATACCCTGCCATATAAAGTTAAAGGCGTCCTCTACTTTAACACATTCATAACGTAATTCATGGACAGTTCGAACTATGAATCGGAATGTTCATCGAGCGTGTTTGTAAGTTCGCCAGAATTTACGATGTCATTGCTAACTTGCTCTCCGCGCCACTGAATGAATATAAAGTTATGTTAATGCCACTATTGCGTCGACTTCAAACCTTAAAACTTGCAAAAGATATCTCTTACTAAAAATATTGACTATTTGGCAAGAGTATCATTTGTACGTATGAAACATAAATGCTGCGTTTGTCTGACACGGAAGAAAAATTCCCAAATTTACATCTTACTCTTTGTAATTAGTGATTCAAAATTAAAGATACAAATCTATGGTCTTGTTTTGCTTGATATAAATGTGAAGCTTATGAAATTAGAGTGCTAATTCAGTGGATTGGTACACACCGGTGATCGTACACATAAGGCCACGCTCGCTTTGATCATGTTCGCTCTGCCATGAGATCAAATGAGCGCCAACTTGCCTAGAAAGAGCCGGGATGAGGGGCTGAACGCCGCATTTGTTTACAAAGAAACACTATAAAATAACCCTTTCATGACATTGCAAATTTAAAGGTACTTAAGTGCTAGACACCCCTTTATTACCGCTTCTGTTTAGAAAGAAAACAATTTGTATTTATTTTCTCAGAAAAACAAATTCATCATTCATTATAATTTCACTATCTTCGCTATTATAAGTGCATATTTCTCTAGGTTGGTCATCAAGTACTTGTGAAATAATTAAAACAAAAGAGTGCCAAAGGTCATTTCTAACATAGTGTACCAGAACAACCTTAAAATCTCTGATGTTCATTGGAACTTGGCGTAAACTCAACGCAAGCCATTTAGAATTAAAATGAGCAGCCCTCCGTACACTCGGGTGTCCCTTGGGCGAAGGTATAACGCTAATCTTAATTACTTATCCCCCATATATACATACTGCCCAACGAATGAAGCGTGTAAGCTGGATACTTGTTGCTTGAAGTACCAAAGCTTATCTACCCTAGGCTTACCTTTGACCTGTTTTTCTACCTACATTTTCAATCTATGTTTGGGCAGGTTAGTGATTGTTTTGTAAATACTTATGTAATTAATAATAATAACGTACACACTCAACATAGCCCCGCACTAGGGAAACCCTGTGTCGCGGGTGCCATGGACACCCACAAATTACACCCAAACTCACGAGAGAAATAATGTAGGCCATACAAATATTTCTCCCTGCCCGGGAATTGAACCTGGGACCTCTGCGTGGCAGTCCGGCAAGGTAACCGTACAGCCACGGAGACAGTTTAAATTGAATTGATATCCACTGTGATGGTCTGAATTAATGGGGATCCGTGGCCATGAGCGAGTAAAACCACACAACTTAGGGTGAGGCCAGACGAGCATTATCTTGTGAGTCGCGTTTTCTGATTTGCGTAATTTATGCTGTATTCGGTTTCATATAAAAGACCTGTGACCACATGACGACGCAAAATGAGTTAGTTGTCGGCCGATTTGCGCGCATAATTGCAACCGAACTTCGGTCGCACTGTGTGACATGATGTTGGCATGTATAAATAGTCATATGAAGTGCCACCATAAGGTACTACTACCTATACCTTATGGTGTCACTTCATATGGCTATTTATATTTGCGTAATAAAAGAAATAAGACTAAATAATTATAAAAATAATTAAAAACGCGAGTAACAAAATGGTATGGTATTGGTAAATGGTATTCGAAAAATAGAATTCGTTTTAAAATTCAAAACGTCCATTTTGATGTTTTGTGCCTTCGTCGGTGAGGAGGACGCATCACTGAACATTCTAACCCACTGGGCATACTTTCCAATTCTGTCTAACCTTTATTTATTTTTTCCAATACGAGGGACATTTCAATAAAGTTTCATGTTTAGGGAAACTGTATGATTATTGAATCATGAGCCAACTTATTGAAGTTGGCTCATGTTTATACAGGGTACAAATTTTTTAAATAACCGAAACCTGTCAACTCTACATTCCTGTCATTAAAACATACAACTTGTTATGTACCACTTTAGGAAATTAATTTTTTTTTTTTGATAAATCGATGCAACTACCTATGCAGGTTTGTAAGTAGGCTAATGTCACAAAAATATTGTGGAAATGTGCAAAACAAAAGTTCTTTGTTGTGTGTTAATGATATTAATGCAGTATTCAAGTTTCGTCTTACTTAAAAACAACCCTTTATTACTTTGTATTAAGTTAATGGAATTCCGTAATAACTCGAAAATGTAAAGTCGGTACTTTTAGGATTAACCCCCTACTAAATGTAAGTACGAGAGGTAAGTAAAAGTCATAAAAAAGTTGTTTTTATTACACTCCGATTTTCAACAATTTTCATCGTGAGTTAGTATACACTGCTCCGCCGCCGCAAGAAGTGCCGAAGCGTGTTCCTGCGGAGATAAAAACCTAAGCGTGAGTTCATTGACGACGTCTAGAATTACAGTCGTTTTTGAAACTTTCGTAAAATACTGGTGTTTATAAGAGAAAACCTACCTACAACAGTCGTCAGCATTTATATGTATAAGTACCTATACGTAGCGAAATTGCAATCGATTCGATGAAAGTACCGCCACCTTACCTGGTAACGTGAGCATTGCTGCTGCGTTTATTGTTAACCTAAGGGTGCTGGTGGAATCACAGGCACATGACACTTTTCAACTTATGTCTCAGGGTGACGGGGGCAATGGTAGCGCCCCTCAGACCATTACGATTTAAAGCTCTGAGTGGCACGCAACTGCTATGGACAGGCGTGTTGATTACCACTAGCGATGGGACCAACTGATAATTTTGACGCTGACTACGTATATCTACGAATAAGAGATATGAACCCAAGACAAAAGACACAAATAAGTTGAATTTCAGTGCTATTATGATTGTAATAGCCCTTACTTTTGAACACTTCGAACAAATTGATAATTTTGACGCTGACTACGTATTTAAGCGTATGTGGTATGGAATTAAGACACGAAAGCACTACATACGTACAGGCTGTACTTTTTTAAGGCGGCAAAATGTAATCTTTTACTAAATAATTACTATTTATTTCAGATGAAGGTACTTCAAATAGTACAATATATATTGTCTTGTTTTATTATTAACAAGAAGGTGCCCGTGACTTCATCTGCGTAGAATAAGTACTTCAATTAGTAGGCCAATATAAAACTATATTAGGTAATTTTCATAGTTTTATTGATTCTCCATATACAAACTTTCATCCCCTATTTCACCCCCTTTATTTTTGTAACAAAAAGTAGCCTACGTCCTTTTCCTAAGTCCCATGTCTCTCTATACCAAACTTTATCAAAATTGGTTCAGTAGTGAGGGCGTGAAAACGTAACAGAGTTACTTTCGCATTTATAATATTAGTTTGGATTGGGGCAAAAGCGCCAAAGTGGTGTAACGCCCACTTACATTTATTTTTCTACAATATGACTTTAAATGATACTAAAGTACATAATTATTATATTTATATTAAATGTTTATTTAGTTAAACAATTATTTATTTTATACATGTAAATTGGATGCAATTTACATGTATAAAATAAATAATTGTTATATATTGGTCATATATGATTACTATTATATAAAATTAATACGGCTAATTTTAAATCCCTCGATATGTTCTATATACTATGCATTTCATGTTCAATTACCTTAAGACGCTTAACAAAATAGTTCTACAACCACAACTCTAGAACCATTTTATATTAAAGTGTTAATATAGCTAGAATAAACAGTAGCACAGAGTAGATTGCCTCTAGGTAAATACATAGGGCGCACTTTAAGTTTCCGGAACTGGCCACTTACATAAACAATATTTAAAAAGTAATTATAACATTTAAAAATGGAACTCTTTGGCTGTAGAATACATACAATGTAAATTGTTTCATCTGACTGTCACTTGTTTTTACATTGTGGCGTCATTTTAAAAATTGGTTGTCTACATCACCATGGATTTAACTCGTGAAAATTTTCGTAGTATGATTTTCTACGACTTTTAGTGTAATGTAACAGCTCAGCGGAGCTTCGCTCTGCTACAAACTGCTTTTGGCGATGAAGCACCATGCAAGGCGACTATTTATAGCTAGCTTGCAGAATTCAAACGCGGTCGTGTGACTCTCAGTGACGAATTTCGTGATGGTCGCCCGTCCACTGTTGTGAACAAGAAAAACATCGATGCTGTGCGCCGTATGATCAAAACAGACAGGCATGTGACACACCGCGAGATTCGGGCATCTTTAGGCATGGGCATGAGTCAAATACAATTAATACTACACAAACATTTGGGTGTGAAAAAGCTGTGCTCTCGGTGGTCCCACACAATTGGACTGAGGCTCAAAAAAGGGATCGCGTCACTTGGTGCAATGCCATGCTTACCAGATTCAACAAAGGGGCGTCAAATTTGGTGTAGGATATAGTAACAGGTGACGAAATATGGATTTATAGTTACGATCCCAAAACAAAACAGCAATCGAGCGTATGGGTCTTTCAAGATGAGCCGAAACCAACCAAAAGTGTGCAAAGTGCCTCTAAGCGAATGATTGCTTCTTTTTTTAATAAAACTGGACACGTGGCTACTGTTGCTTTGGAGAATCGTTGTACCGTTAATATTTATAGGTACACGACCATTTGTTTGCCGGAAGTTATTGACAAACTTCGTAAAAATAAACGCCGTATTATCTTGCACTACGATAATGCCAGTTCTCAACAAGCCAAACAGACAAATGAATTTTTGAAGGTGAACAACGTTGACCTTAGAAGCCATCTCGCATACAGTCCAGACCTGGCACCTTGTGACTTTTATTTATTTCCAAAAATTAAGAACCAGTTACGCGGTCAACGATTTTCATCACCTGAAGAGGCTGTCGAAGAGTATGAAAAATATGTTTCAAAGATTGTCACGGAGGAGTGGTATAAATGTATACAAAATTAGTTCATTCGTATGAAAAGTGCATTAACGCTAACGGAGAATATTTTGAGAAACAATAAATTAATTTCTGACCATTTATAGTATTTTTTTCTTATTCATTCCGGAAACTTATAGTGCGCCCCACGTAATAAAATTACTGAAGGCTCTATAAACTGTCTTTTTTATCTTTTCTTAACTGTTCTAAATGAGAACGCACTACCTAACACGAGTTCAAAAAAATAAGTTAGAGAGGTTAACCTAGTTAAGGTACTCTTAATCCAGTTAGACTGAGAAATGAAGTAAAAGAAAAACAAAGGCTGGCAAAGCA